TTCAAAATGCATTCAAAATCAGCATAAATCACAAAAGGGACTTCCATTTGTTTTTGATAATTTACATATTTCAATATATTTTCATATGCTACATTTCCAAACTTATCCTTATGTAATTCTTTAGAAGGTAAACTAATTCTAATATGATCACAATCATAACTATTTTGGTTTTGTAATTTGTGTTCTGTATCAAAATATTGAAGGCATCCATTGCACAAGTATTTTCTTCCATGGTGTTTACTCAGTTGCTTAGAAACTAATCTTGAAAGATCGGAAATGTAGCAATAATGAAGATTTCCATCATCATCACTTATCAATAATAAATTAACATGTACATTTTTTCTATCACTTGAAAAATGTAAAGGCCCTATTACTTCATATTCTTCACTATTAGAAATTTTATTAAAATATTTTTCTAAACCGTATACATTAATCGATATATTATTTTGAATTTCAAATTTTTTAATGTCTTTTAATGACATGGGAAAGTCAATACCTGCAGTGTTCAAAACTGTTGAATAGTGTGGATACGATGATGTAACAAAGTCGACACCTGTTGGGGGATAAAGGGCTGCTACTATAGACCAAGCAAAGCAGCATCGTTGTTTCTGATGTTGACTATAGCTTGACGTCGTACTATCTCAGGAGGAAGTTCAACAAATGATGATGCTCTCATTGGGTTGAATTTATTAATATTAATCTCCAAGTAAAGAAAATTAAGTAAGATCCATCCTGAAACAAAAAATAAAATTAAGTATTTATATTTTTATATTAAAAATCTCTTACCGGAATCTTTTTCAGCGAACACGTCAGCCTTGTTGTCAATAATCATTAAAAATTCTTCTACCAAATTTTTCTACTTTAAAAGGTGTGTTGAATGATTTGACATCATGGTTATTAGTAGTAGGATTATAGTAATAACCAAAAAGTTCCATACTGATTTTAATGCAGGTATGCTTTGTGAGTTGGTTGTCTAGTATACACAGAATTTTGACTTCTAATTCTTTAAAATATTGTTTTACATCTAGAATATTTTTTTCTGTAGTAATTCTGTATGACACTATTCGTTCCTTAAACGCCGACTTAATAATTTGAACTCCTTTATCTTCCATCATTTTAGAATTGTTTTTGTTGAATATTTGACAAAACTGGCACGTTACAATCTTTACAAAATCTCTCTGTAAAAGGAAATATTTATAAGACTAAAATTGTAAACTAGCGAGAAAATGTCTTACCTTTTTTTTCATTCGCAGTAGACTTTGCAACCCTTTGATTGAAAAATCTTGACTTGCTACAGGCAGTCCTCATATGAAGTAATAAGTTATCTTTTTGTCTGTTTTGCGGTTTATCTGTTTGTTAGTATTTTTTGTCTATTTTAATTTTATTGTAGTTACTTTTTAGTTGTTGGTTGTGTTTTTTCTGTGTGTTTTTACTGTTGTTACTATTTTGTTTATATTGTATAATTTTTATAACGAGTTAAATTTGAAGAATGTTATTTTTATTTTAAGTGTAAAATATAACTAAAAACTGGACAAGTTTTTGAATAAAAAAAGTCTTAATTCTATTAGATGAATAGGTATAAAACTATAACTTACCAAATCTATATATATTAACTTTAACTGACACAGATAATGTTTACCAAAACTTAATTGTAAGGGACGCGAAATTTAAGTACCGTTTTTTGTCTTTCGCAAGCAAGTGGTACGACCGAGAGTTTTACCTCGTCTGCAGAGTCGTCTCGTTTGTTTGTCTGCTTCCTAGCTAACAGGTTGACCCTGAGATCGTTGATAAAATCGTTGAGATAAAAAGTTGCCCGGCTGTCAACTTTTGCTTTCAAGTCGGCTTAATTTTTGAGCGAGTTGAATCTTGTTGAACGTGAGAACGATCCATACCGACTCGAAAACGATTAATCTTTGTTTGTATTTTTTGGTGTGTGATAGGTACCTAGTGCATGAGCAAAATGGCTTCGTCTAAAAAGGGGTTTAAATGGAGTGACGCTTTAACCTTCAAGTTTATGGATCTTTATCAGCAGCACGAATGCCTCTGGAATCAAACCCTTGTTATTTAGAAGAACAAAGATGCAAACTATGCGGTCTCTCCTAGATATCCAACTCCTCACCCAACATTTTCTTTTTTTTCTAAATATCTCTAAAAACACCTTTGCACTACTTTATTTGGAGCCATTTTGGAGAAACCAATTCGATCCGATCGTTATTTCAACCGTGTGAACGCAAATCGCTTGGGATTTTTGTCGGTCAACAAAAATCGTTCAATTAAAATCGCCTCGTGAGAACCCTGTTTTAGTTGAACCTATGTCTTCGCGGTACTGGTTTTATTTTTTAAATTTTATATTAGAGATGATCAATGTTTTAAAATATCGATAAAATGTGGTGATAATTTGATGTGTGTGTGTTTAGAATTAAATGAAGTGTTTAATTGATGGGAACATTGGATAAAATCTCTAGAACTTATTTTTTAAATAATATTTATTGTCAAATCAATTTTTACATTATTATTACATCCTATTGGATATGAAATAAAACTGCAAATATTTATAGTCACATTTATTTTAATATCCTTTTTATACTCTGGACAAAGTAATATCTAATTATATCTTTTCGAAAAAAACTGCACTAAATATTTATAATATGAACCACATAGTGGACACTTAGTTGTCATTTTTGAATCATAACGTACATCGTTCCATGTTAATATACAGTTTAAACAAAAAAAAATGGGAACAAGTATTTGGCACACAAGTTTCGTAGCAATTAACCATGTCGTGACAAATTGCACAAAACAGTCGCTTAATTTCCTCTATATTTTCTTTTGTATCTTGTTCGCAGGTTATAGATTTTTCTTCTTCCCTAGGAGGAGATTGGAATACACTAAGTATAGATTTATGTTGAACAGTAAAACTGGTCTGTTGAGAGAGGGGTTCTAAATGATTTTCTTCCGTCATTCTGACCTAATACTAACTATTGGATGTTTTTACTATATATGACTGGACATTGATATAGTGGGGGCGAAAGTAAGTGGGGATAAGCATGAATCTCTCTGTTTTTTTTTATATTACCCTCCCTCTCTGAAGAAGAGAGGAACGAAACGACTAATTTTTTTAATATCGAAATATATATTATTTTCAATCAGACATCTCCGAATCAGAGGGATCTCCGAATCAGTGGGATCTCCGAATCAGGGGGATCAAAGCTGCAGGTTCTCACGGTCCCAGCACGATCTTCTATTTTGCCTTGGTAGGGGCTCAAACGGTTGAAATGGACTACCCTCGGCTTTCCTTTTGGCAATTTTCTGATACGGTATACGACGTCATTAATCCTATCCATGACTTCGTATGGCCCTTCCCACGAGGACAATCCACGACGTCTCTGCGGGTTGTATAGCCACACCAACTTCCCTGGTTGGTATTGTAAGAGTCCCAATTTATTTTTCTTTGGTTCAGTGAAAAATAAATAGCCTTACTGGCGTACAGTAGTAAACTTAAATCTCTCGGGCGCCACCTCTGTTATTTATAGTGGAAGAGGTCCACGTTTCGCCAATACGGGTAGCTTTTATACAGTGGAGATACCAGGGAGTGATGAAATGAAAAGGAAATAAAACACACAGTCAACTATAACATAACATTAAGGCTTTATTTAATTAATTAACTATATGCTAAATACCCCATGAAGTTTCACGACTTTAAATTGTAATGAAAGTGAAAGAAAATTTATAATTAAAGACTCGTAAAATAAAATTTACAACAACAATCGAGCACCTCTAGAGTTTTGACCGTATAATCTCGATATGCAACTCACTGTTCGATTTAATCACGCGAATTCAAAGCGCGTTTTTGACATGACGCTCTAGTAAATAAAACGACGCGAGTTTCTAACCGGCGTCTAACTTAACGGCGTCCTAGTAAACACAGACATGTACGTACCGGAGCGACATACTCTTTTATAAACCGACTTTCTAAACGTCGGCGACGTCGTTACAGACGTCCCGGGATAAACAAACGCGAGCCCTGGATCGTTCGCAGTAGAACGAAACGGAGTCCTGTGGGATAGGTACGCACGCGAGCCCTGGATCGTTCGCAGTAGAACGAAACGGCGTCCTGTGGGATAATTACGCACCCGAGCCCTGAATCGTTCGCAGTAGAACGAGACGGCGTCCTGTGGGATAGATACGCACGCGAGCCCTGGATCGTTCGCAGTAGAACGAAACGGAGTCCTGTGGGATAGGTACGCACGCGAGCCCTGGATCGTTCGCAGTAGAACGAAACGGCGTCTCGGTTAGTCGTCTGGATAAGCACAGTCCACACCGCCCGGTCAGGACCACCTCGGGATGTCGGCGAGATCCCACGGCGCTCCTGATGAGAATACGGGAACTACAGAACCAGTCTCGGGATTTGGACGAGATCCTGTCTTAGCTCCAAGGATATTCGCGCCCGTATATTTGTTGTACTACCTTAACCGCTATCTGTCTCCCTTTTAACCAAAAGAAATCGGTCTTCGCGTCCACGGGATCCGGACAAAATGCCTCAACCTTGCACGTATTTTTACTTCTATAGTAGGACAGTTGACACCTTGAGCGGATACAAGTCTGGTTAAATTTTACGTACGCGCGTTTCGGACCAAGATGCCTCTACCTTGCACGTATTTTTACTTCTACAGTAGGACATTAGACACCTGGAGCGAATTTAACTATCTCTATCTCCCTTATTCTATAACGCGTTAAGGCAGTAAAACAAACCGTATTAACAATAAAAAGAAAACGACCTACTCTCGATCACTTTGGCGGCTGGACTTACCTTCTTCAGAGCGGCAACGGCGGCTGGCAGCAGGGTACTTGGCAGGGCACTCCGGACTCGAACTTCACTGTTCACGTGCGATCACACCACTGACTACCTGGCGCTCTCGCTGCCAGGGTATACTCAAACGACCCTCCCCTCCACTCGACCGGTACTGGTAGGGCCGGGAGCGCCAAGAATTTCCTAATTCTACTTTTTCCTAACATTACGATTGCGTCCGAACGTCTTCGGAAAGTAAAAAACACTGTTGCCAGTATTCGCATATTTTCGTAAGTATATCAGACAGAGTGAATTATTATGGAATTATTGTTCGTTACTGAACGGAGTGAATTATTGTGAATTGAAAATGGAAGGATTATTTAAAAAGGAAGCCAGAAGGTAGGAAATTTCATTTGTGCTTATCTTTTGTAGTTATGTATTAAAAAAACAAAATATTCAGTATCCATAATGTTTCGGTTTACTTATAACTTGATTAGCATGTATTTAAGTGCAAGGTAATTAATTAATTTGTAATAAAATACTTTCAGATCCTCTCAAAGTGGAGGACAAGTACTGGCAGCTGGATAATCCAACTCCGATTGGATCCGCAATTATATGAAGATATAGATGTGAAAATAATAATAGTGGAATATATTAGCGGTAAGTAAAAATAAGTACCTCGGCCTCTGTCTCGGTGTTATAGTTTTGACAGTAGTTGGCTCCCAAATAATTTAAAATGAATTGTAATTTTATTTCTAGTAGTTCGAGCAGCAACGGTGGCAAAATGGTGTCTAGTTAGTTACCATAGTTACAATAGAACAAAAAGGTATGTACTTGGTATGTACCTTTTTAAAATGGAAAAGACACATTTCTTTCCTAGACTTAATAATTAAAATAAGATTATTAACATTTTCAATTATATTCACTTTGGGTAGATATTGCTTTAAATAATAATATGTAATGTGTTTTACCCAATCATTAATTTGACGGTGTTGTTAAATTCATTACTCATACATTTTTTTGTTTATAGGTAGGTGTAGGTATACCTACGCTCACCTTCAGTAGCACTTTTTCACCAGCCACCCGCAGTTCGCAGTCACTAGAATACCAGAGGGACTACAGTTTGATTTATTTTATTTTATCATACATTTATATTTTGTAATAAACCATATCATATAATACCAACTTCCATGCTTTATTTTGACCGACTTAAAGTTCATGAATAAATTCGAAATATTTTGAAAAAATTTCCTTATTAAGGTCTTAAAATTGAATTGCAATATCATTTAAGGGGTGGTAAAAAAGTTGAGTTGGGGGAAAATGTTTTTTTCTAGTACCTTAAACTTCTTCAGTAAACTCAAAATAGCCTAAAAACGTTCCTTAGAGTCTCTAAATTAAAATACAAAATTATTTAATTGGGATGTTCTGGGTAATTTTATAAATAAAATACTCTTTGACTCCAGAACATTTTTTTTTTTCAGTTAACCCAGAGAATAGTTAACCTCTAAATTGACTCTAGGGATTATTGCCATTATTAGAATTCTCTGCTCTTATTTATTTAATTATACCATAGGCAACCAATAATACACACTCTCATGACATCATATATCTTTAATTTTGAAAGCTCTAAACATATATAACTATTTAAATTTTGCTGTGTATATGATGGACCTTGATTCTGAAAAGAATTAATTATGTTAGAAAGTCACTGCACATAATATGTTTTTAAAATATATTTACCTTTGTATGTTTCCTGCTTCTCCTTCGTGATGCTTGTGCTATAACGTTCTAATGTTCTAAAAAAAACATTAACTGTCAAAATTACAATTTTGTTTTAATTTCCAATAAAATTAGTTTGTTTTTCTCAGAGGTTTTTCTGCTTCATCTGTTTCTTTTTCCTTCACCCTTCCTCACAAGATTTATCAGTTATATAAAAATGTTTAATTTAATTTCCAGTTAATCGCATACCACACTGTTTCCGATTAAAAATATTATCAATACTCAATGCGTCTGCATAATTATAACATTTTATTTTTATATCACTTTCTAACTTAACGTATGGAGCACCTGGCCAGCCTCTAACTTTTCGAGTCTCAACTCTCGATAGCGACTGCGAGGAGCGACGTTGACAAATTTAACACGTTTTTTTCCTTCATTTCATGTAGAATGTACATCTCAAGGATTTCGATCCATGCCGATGACGGCCGAACCGAGTAGGTCGGGCGAGAATTAGAAATCTCGCGCAGTAGGAAAAATTCCCATTAGGAATTTTTACGCCATCCCGGTAGGGCCAGCTTCTCGGCTGCCGTACCGAACTATAGCGAGTAACGCCGATCAAAACTCTATTACAATATGGTCATTAAATATCTAACGCATTTAATTCAACAGTAAGAACATTAATGAAGTTCATTACCATAATGAGTTAACAATAAAATACATTGCCTAACCTTGTTTACAGAAAAGGTCCCTATTATTTAAGTACAGTATACGGGGTGTCCCAGAAATGAGCCCCAAAATTTATGAACTTCATTACAGTTTACATGAAATATACATAATATACAGTTAATAAATACTTAGAAGAAAATTCTTGGGGATAGCGGTCTGAAGGCAAAAATTAAACAATTTTTTTGTTATAATTGATCGGTCAAGACTTCCTCTTTGTTAATAAATACAATACATATACCTATTTATAGTAATAAATACTTTGGCAAATAAACTATGAACCACACAAATGCAGCAAATGTTTTACAATACACAAATAATGAATAGGTACATCAGATAATGGATAAAATGTCAAACATATTTTAAATTTTGGGGTTTGAAAATCGATCTAATTTAACAAAAAACATTCAATATCTATTAATAGTGATGTATTATTATTTGCATTCACAAAATTTATATGTATATTTTGCAAGTATCAATGTTCGAAAAATTATATTTGCAAATAATACAATATCATAAAAAAAAAGGCGTCAGCGATGGCTATGAAATAAAGATCGCTGTCATTTTATATGTAAAATTATTCTAAAATTTTTGATTTTCTTGGGATTTAGATTCGGGAAAAACGCTGATTAATTTTCATTTGATTTTTTATTATTTTTATTTGGTTTAAAAAAAAACGTTTCGGGTAACATTATAGCCTTCATCAGTGTTGTGTCATATGAAAAAATAGTGTCGAATATAATCCAAAAAATTACATATAAAATATTCACACCACACACCATATAATGTTTACTACAATTAATAAACTAATATAAACTTGTCAAAAGATGACCACATATTTTTTAAAATTATTATTCTTAACACTAAAACTATCTACATTGACTATGGAGTGCGATTTCAGCCATAGTCAAGTGAGGCTGTTTTATTAGAGACGGCATTGCGTCAGCAGGGCCGCAAGTTGCTAACCTAATAAAATTAACACTAGAAAAGACCGCGGGAACTGTCAAATTCAAAGTTATTCGCTTCACAGACTATACTTCTTTATTTTTAAGATTTTAATGGTCAAACATCAACAAAATATTCCTTATGTTTGGATTAAATTTTCTCGAAAATAAAGACATAATTTAAAATTCCGTTACAATACGGAAATAGATTGAAGTTTTGTGATTACAGTGATATATAATTTATATGGTTTTGTAACAAATTGCTCACTATTTTATGGTTTGGATTGGTTTGGTTTTTTAAACCTTCTCGAAAAAAATCTTTTTTTTTCAACTTATTATCGAAGTGCTTTTAGCGATTCGAATGAAATTTTTAGAGTAAAAGTTACTCTAAATGTGACATATTTTAATGCTAAAAAAGTGTCGACATATTCACCAGGGAGGTGCAGATGGGTTATGACTGGAATATATCTCGAAAAAAGACCTAAGCGCCACTGTAGTTTTTCTCTTTTTACAAAATTGTGTAAGCCGTTTAATGCCGATTAATACTTGTCCCGTGATATTTTTCGATTTTTGTCTCCTTCATGAAATAAACGCAATTTTACTCAATATTTTGTTACACAATTTTTGCTAACAAAAGAAAAGAAAGTCAGTGGCGCACAGATTTTTTTAGAAAACTGTACCAGTGATATACCCCATATGCGCGTCCCTGGTAAATCTGTCGACACTTTTTAGTACAAAAATATTTAACACTTATGGTAACTTTTATTCGTTATTCATTTTCATCATTATATTCCCTCAGAATTTCATTCGAATCGCTAAAAGCACTTGGAAAAAAAATATAATAAATCGAAAGAAAATGAAAGATTTAACCCCTTACAGCTACGAAATAAAGCAAAATCGGAACTATGTTCATATAAAAAATAAATCTAATTTTTACCTGACGAATCTCCCCATGAGGGATAACACGTTATTTTTGAAACGCACTGTATAAATACTATTTTAGACTTCTTTGGTCTTTTTTTACAAAGAATAAAACATAATAAATTTAACTTAGTACCTAATTATTGCAAACAAAAATGACATATTCATAAGCCTCGACTATGGTATGTAGACCCTCGCACCCGCAGTGGCTCTATCTGGGACCCACTCTTAGTAAATACAATAAATACAATACAAGCCTCGACTTACAGAAGTTAATCTAATGTCTCGATTAATTAAAAAGACGAAAATTGATTATGATAGATACACCATAAAAATGTTAAACCTTAGATTATGTTAGAGATTAAAAACTGGGAAATTTCACTTTTACACGAGTAAATCGACAAAATGCTTCCGAAAATAAACATTGTGGTTTTGTGTGCTTTTTTACTTATTAAATGGACCAATGGTTTTAGTTATGAAGGGTAAGATAGATAACTTTTTCTTGAAATTTTTCAAAAACATTCAAATTTGTATATCTAAATTAGATCCAAAAAAACATTTAATGAACCAGTTGCACGAGGGGTGTCTCACTGTTGGAATTACATGTACATTTTCTTGGCAATCGCTGGCAGTCGCTGGCAGTCTTTGGCAGTCTTACGGCAGTCGCCTATAATTACATGGCAGTCATAGGCAGTCTATCGGCAGTCGACCGGCAGTCGCTTGGCAGTCGCTAGGCAATCGCGGCAGTCACTGGCAGTCATTGGCACTCACTGGCAGTCAATTTCGGGATGTTTTGTATAAAAACTTGTCAATATTGAAGCAAATATATATATTTTTTTTCAATTTAATGTAAAAAAAACTTGCAGCATAATTCTTGTTTAACAAAATATACTTATATAAAACGACTCATGTGACGATCGGGTAAAAGAAAAATTTCTCGAAAATTTCACATACATTCAGATAGATTTTTGTTTTATGGTTAATAATGTTAAATTAATTCATAAATGCAGTATAATAGATAATGAAAAGCTATCGACTTCAAGGTATATCAAAAATGTTTTGGTTTTGTTTTTTAGCGCTTTTTAGAACAAAATGTTAAATAGAATAGTGTAGGGAAGGTTAAGAAGCACATTTTAAAATTACTGTATACAGGGTACTTCAAAAAAATGTTGCGGATATAACATATATTTTTTAATGAGAATACCCTATTTGTATTTTATAATTTGATTCTACGTACAATTCGGTAACTTTTGTGCGTATCGAGGGTCATAGTGCAGTAACTCGTATCATTTTTAATACGATTTTCCAGGAAATCTACCCAATTTTACATTAAATTATTATAATTTTTGTAAACAAATTATTATCTTATAGAGCCGAGATATCAATACTATTCAACTTTGTTTATAGAAATGACGCAAAATTTGTAGATTCTATCAGAAAAAATGATAATACATACTTTTTTGCTGGTGCGACTAGGCCCGGTGATACACTGCGCGTTTTGTGGTTGCCGCAGAAACGCGCGGCACCGGCATCGACCATAAACAAAACTACACAGACGCCGGCGCCGGTGCTGCGACAAAAACGCACAGTGACATAGTGTAACATGTCTCATATAAATGCGTGTGTTGTGGCAATCACTGCGTTTCTGCGACAGTCGCAAAAACGCACAGGGTCGATCTAGAATCGAGACGCATCAATTAAAGAAATAGAAAAAGACAGTAATAAGGTAATAAATGCATCAGGGATTTGCATATATATGGATTATCACTGGGATATGATATTTCTCAAAAAAAAAACATGTGCGCCACTGACTTTTTTCTTTTGATATCAAAATTGTGTAGACCGTTTAATGCCAATTAAAAGTTATCTCTTGATATTTTGCCCAGTTCGGCCTCCTTGATGAGATAAACGCAATTTTATTAATCACAATTAATAAAAATAAAATTAATAAATTATATATTTTAATAATAATAATAGCTCCCGTATATAGCGTTTAACGCCTTGGGAGTAGCAAGGTACAGCTTGCCATGCTAGAGCCGTTCGGTATACAAGGAAGGTAATGTGGCTAGCACTAAGCTTCAACCGCCTATTATTACCTCAGGATTGTGAATCCCAAGTAATCATATAAGGCTGAGTCGACCTAGGTACCCAAACTATTTTTATTTTAATAAAAATAGTCGTCTGATGCAATGCCGGGTGTGGAATTCGAACCCACTACCTTGAGATTGGTAGACGGGAGCCTGTACCTCTACGCCACCGGGCACCCGTAAATTATATATTTTACCTAATTTATTATTAAATATTATTACTGTTAGTTATCATTACTATTAATCCAACATACAGCAATTTCAAATAAAAAAATAATGGTATTTAAGTTAATTACAAAAAAAATAATTTTAAAAAGTTTTAACACCCTGTAACTCTAAAACTATGCATTTCCATACCTATGTTTATAATAACTTTTTTCATATATTTTGATGGGGAATCAAAAAGTACTTATTTGAAACTTTTGCAAATTAATGATATTAATTTTTTTTAAAGGTTGCTATTAGATTTGAATCAAGGCAAATTAATAAAATTGCGTTTATCTCATCAAGGAACGCGAAATGGACAAAATATCAAGAGACAACGTTTAATCGGCATTAAACGGCTTACACTATTGCGCTAACAAGAGAAAAAAAGTCAGTCGTGTACATGCTTTTTTTAGAAAAATATTCCAGAGAAAACCCATATGCACGTCCCTGGTGAATATGTTGACAATTTTTTAGCGTTAAAATATGTCGCATTAATAGTAACTTTTACCCTCAAAATTTCATTCGAATTGCTAAAAGCACTTGGAAGAAAATTATAATAAATCGAAAAAATATTAAGACTTTATTAACACCCTGTAACAAAGCAGAATCGGACCTATGTTGATATGAAAAATAAATCTTATTTTTACATGAGGAATCTGCCCACAAGAGATTGCACATATTTTTTGAAACACCCTGTATATACAGGGTGTCCCAGAAATAAGTAGTAATAATACCCCAGAAACAGGCCTATGAGTTTTTATTGCAAAAATTTTTTTTTGAAAATTCGAAATTTTTTGAAAAATGTTTTGGAAATTTTTTTACTTTTTAATTAAAAAACATAATTTCTTGATAATATGGCAACATAGGTATTAGATTAAATTTACAAGAATGAAAATCCAGAAAAGATCCAACGGTTTTCAACATTTTAGTAAAATAACTCCGTTATTTTGGACTTATTTGAAAAACGATAAGGAGCAAATATGTTTCTTTTGTCGAGATTTACCTAAAAAAAAATTAAAAAGTTAAATTTTCTATAGCAAAAAAGTTACAGTGATTTGTTAAAAATGCACTTTTTTGAAAAACATCCCGTAACTACGAAACGGTAACAGATATCTATGTGCGGTTTTCGCCATAAAATTGAGCTCCAGATACCGATATTAGTTTTTGTCCATCTCCTACAGAAAAGGGTGTTTCCCGTTATAAAAAATAATATATTTCAAGGGGCAACAAAGGCCCGGAACTTAAGATACCGCTGAGCCGGCAGTCGTTGGCAGTCGCTGGCAGTCATTGGCAGTCCTTGGCAGTCACTGGCAGTCGCTGGCAGGCGTCGGCAGTCACTGGCAGTCGTCGGCAGTCACTGGCAGTCTTGTATAAAACGACATTTTGGCAATACGTGTACAGTTTTTACCCTAGTGAGACACCCCTCGCAGTTGCATGAAAAGCCCTGTACATTACTATAAAAATTTAGTAATAAATTATAATATAGGATTGTTTTTAATAAGCTTAAATTTATAATCATGGGGTAATTAAATAGGTATAAACTCTATGAGATTGTTGCAAATGATATGACCGAGGTAAACCACTTGCGAGAATTGGAAAAACAAGAAGGTCTAAATTTCCTCAAGAAAGCTCATCATTTGGGTGAGACGAACGACATCGTTGCAGCTCCTCAATATCAAGAACATTTTGAAAAAATCCTGAAAAGCGTCGGTTTGAAGTACAAAATCGTGGTAGAAAATGTTGAAGAGTAAGATTATAAGAATGGTTTTTAATACAATTATCTTTTTATTCTTTGGATGTTTTTAGAATTATGGAAGCGGAAAGAAGAGCTACATCACTTAGACCGTTCATGAGCTTGGGAGATGTTACGTTCAGGAATTACATGTTTCATCATGAAGTGAGTGCGATAAATATAGAATGTAATAATAATTCATACAGGTACTGTGTCTTTTAGATGAATGCATATTTACGGAAATTGGCTGCTCAATATCCCCACACAACAAAATTGGAACATTTTGGAACATCATTTGAAGGAAGAGATATGCTGCTTATAAGGTTAGTATAATTCTTTTCATGTTACTTCTTCGCGTTTCAACATTTAATCTTGCGTTTTAATGAAAAAATGAATATTTACATCACCAACTACCTAAAACTACTACTACACACTATACAAATAAATATTTTTTAGTTTTAGGAATCGTCGCCTTTAGCAATAGTAGTGATGAAAGAGACTAGTCTTAGTCTAGCGGTATTCTGCCGTCGGTAGTTAAAAGGCGGCAAGTGACAAAACCATAGTTTTGAGAAAAGTGGCAAAAACTTTGTGATGTTGTCCTTCACTAATAAGAATATATACATTCGATTTTATTGTTCAACACTAATTGGATATACTATATTTAGTTATTTAGAGGTATTTTTAGACAATAGAGCAAGTTTCGTTTAAAAAAATGTTGGTTAATTCTTTCTTGCTTCGTTTTCTGTATTAAATACAGTAAGAAGTTGAAGTTAAAAGGCGGTAAGCGACAAAAAACTGTTCAAATGCTGCCTTTTAACTGCAAAACCTTTGACGTGCCGCTATTTAGAATCAAGTAAAATATGTTAAGGTTTTAACTTAAAAAAGATAAGTTTTAAGTAACATCTATTTATTAAAAACACAGTTTATTTTTTAAATTAATAGTCATCTTGCAAATTTTAAGTAGTTTTATGATAACAGTTATATGTATAGTAAAAGGAATAATTTTAGGTATAACAGGGTAGTCCATAATGGATTGTTCTGTATATATTCTCATGCATTTTTTGTTTGCCTGCGGTCATTTTATAAACTAGAGAGTTGTTTTTGTTGTTTTACTTAGAGGTATAACAAAAATAGTTAATTGAGAAGTGCCACCTCAAAAATCTTTGCATCCGGCGCGGCGCTAGTTTGGTGTCTGCTTTTTGTTGTTTTAAGCAAGAGGATACGTCGATGTCCCCTCTTTTAAAACCCAAAACAAATTTACACTTCTGATCGATATACTATAGTATCCAAGTTAAAAAAATAATAGCAAGGTTTTAATTTTTATAATATATACGAGGCATGTTTTTTAAGTAAGTACCGTTTTGGAATTAAAAAAAAACGTGCAAAGATATCGCAATAATTTTATTTTTACATGAAAGCCTGTACCTTAATCTACTTTTCTACATAATTTCCGTGAATATTGAAGCACTCGTCATAACGTGGCACCAGTTTTTCAATACCAACCTCATAAAATTCTGCCGCCTGACTGGTTAATCACTGTATCACAACTGTTTTGACTTCGTTATCGTCTTGAAGACGCTGACCGCCCAGGTGTTTCTTCAAGTGCAAGAATAAATGGTAGTCACTGGGCGCCAGATCAGGGCTGTATGGAGGATGATCTAGAGTTTCCCATTTAAAAGATTTGATGAGATCTTTGGTCCGATTAGCCACATGTGGACGGACATTATCATGCAGCAAAACAATACCCTTACTCAACTTGCCACGTCTTTTGTTTTGGATTGCACGGCGCAGATTGTTCAATGTCTCACAATAAGATGCTGCCTTGACTGTCTCATTACGAGGCAGAAACTCCACTAGCAATACTCCTTTTCTGTCCCAAAAAACTGCACATGATTCTCCGGGCAGAAATTGTTTGCTTAAACTTCACTGTTTTGGGTGATGATGAATGTCGCCATTCCATGGACTGTTGTTTCGATTCTGGTGTTTCGTAGGCCACCCATGTTTCGTCACCAGTAACAATTTTGTCTAAAAAATCTTCACCTTCATTGTGGTACTGCTCAAGGAAAGTCAATGCACTGCCTAAACGTTGGGTTTTGTGCAAATCCATCAACATTTTCGGAACCCAACGTGAACACAATTTCCGGTAATTCAAGTTCTCGGTCACAATGCGATACAAAACACTACGAGAACATTGAGGAAAGTAGTCGCACAATGATGAAATTGTAAAGCGTCTGTTTTCTTTCACCTCTTTGTCCACTTTCTGCACCGAATCTTCATTAACGACCGAAGGACGCCCACTCCGTTCTTCATCATGCACATTTGTGCGGCCATCTTTAAATGCTCTCACCCATTTCCTTACCATTCCATCACTCATAATGTTTTGTCCGTAAACTTCACAGATCTCACGATGAATATCGATCGGTTTTACGCCTTTAGCACTAAGAAATCATATGACAGCCCGTACTTCACAATCGACGGGGCTCACGATTGTCGGAGGCATCTTAAACACTCAATAAACAACGTATACAATGAAGAATCAGACTGTACTGGCGTCTGTGCATAGACAAGAGATGTAGGTAACCAGCGCGCATGCGCGGAACGCCGACCGTAGCGCTGCGGCGGCGGAATCGCAAAACGGTACTTACTTAAAAAACATGCCTCGTATATTTTCCTGGCTCTAAATTACGCTTGAAATAAAAAAAATTGAATGGATGAGTGAAAAATCTTTTCTTCAATAAATACAATAAATAATTTATTTATTGCCAATTAATTCGAAATATGAATATGAAACGATTAAACATTAAGATAACTCATAAATATATTTGTAAATATACTGATATACCATTTAAAAGAAAAACTTATGGAGGCACTATACTATAATAGTACTTATTTAATTAATGATACTTAATTTAATTAATAATACTTAATTATTGATAAATGTTACTAATTCGGACTATATTTTTTTTTAATTTCAGGGGTGAAATTTATATTTTGTTAACACATCACACAAATTTAGCTACAAATTCATCATATAAATATGTATTGAATAATAAATAATATATAATAATCTAAAATACCTATAAAAATAGTTTAAAAGCTTACCTTTGCACAAAAGCCAATCACTATTATTATAAAAAATTATTATTAATCACTTTATATAAGCCGAAAAATGCGATGCGTGCCTGGATTCGCAATCGACTAATTCATCTGTCGCGAAATATACCGCCTTCTTACTACCAAATTTACGTCCGCGTCAAAGTCCGCGTGGTGATTTTGACCGTTAAAAAGGGCACAATAGTCATATACCGCTTTTTTACTACAAGTTTCGTGACGTATTTCACGATCTTATTTGACGAATAGGGTGGTATTAAACAATGGCTCCTTATAACTTCAAGTTTTATAACGTATTTGATATCCATCTTTTAGGAATAGAGCAATTACTGTCTAATGCCGCCTTTTTAGTACATAATATGCATCATTATGTCATTATTTTTTAAATATAAATGGCATATTTGCAAGAATGCCGCGTTTTAACTTAAATATTTACACTTGCCGCCTTTTTACTTCCAAAATGGTGACGTTATGTGACATGCCGCTTTTTTTCAAATTTCAAAAATCGTAGAAAAAAAATATTTTTGAATATTTAGATAGAGTAGGGTCACATTAGTCTAAAAATGCAAAAAATCTCAAAATTGAAAAAAAATCACTTGCCGCTTTTTAACTGCCGACGGCAGTATTGGTCTTGGTCTTGCAGTAATACCAAGACCAAGACCCTGCAGTACCAAAACCAATACTACTATTAGATTGCAAGACCAAGACCAAGCGAATATTGGTCTTGGTATAACACTAAGCAATAGTTATTTCCATCCATTTAACTGCTTCCTGTTAGCATAATGGAAGTGTATTAATTATTTAAAACCTTTTATTTCAATCATCTTCTTAGGGTATCCAGTGGTCCCAGTTCTAATCCCGATGTCCCCAAACCAATCATTTTTGTAGACGCGGGAATCCACGCCAGGGAATGGATTGCTCCCCCTGCAGCGTTGTACATAATTCACCAGTTAGTTGAGAACCCTGCGAACGCAGCCTTGTACCAAAACGTAGACTGGGCTATAATTCCCTGTTTGAACCCAGACGGCTACCAATATACCCAGGAAGAGGTAAGTTCTTATATCTATTAACTGTAAACTACAGTTTACCCTAATATCTGTTGAATAGTGAGTTAAAAAAACGTTTGTACATCAACGATTTTTATAAACCTGTCAAACAACTAGTGTTCTCCATAGCTGAACATTTACAGATATCCACAAGTTTGTGACTTACAAAAGTTCAATTTTTGAGCATTTTTTTAAACTCTATAGGACAGGTGGTGGAGAAAAACCCGTAGTATCATTCCAAACTCCGATTGCAGAGGTACAGACGGCAACAGGAACTTTGATTTTTACTGGATGCACTCAGGAGCATCATCAGCCCCATGTACCGAGATTTATGGTGGACCTCATCCATTCTCAGAACCTGAAACGCTTGCTTTAAGAGACTGGTTTTTCGCTAATAACGGTACTGTCAAATTGTACCTCACTTTCCACAGCTATGGCAGTTTGCTACTGTATCCTTGGGGGTAAGTTAAATGTAGAAAAAGAAAAGAAAATTCCTATAAAAATAAGGCATTTGAATTATGCCAAGATATTTAATTGCTGACTTGTTTTATTACATCTTTTAACCCTTAAAAGCTACAAAGTGGTCTGTCAGACACCTCGAGCTAAACATGCCTCTATATTCCGTAAACGCCTACAATGGTAGCAATGGGGAGTCAATAGGCGTTCGATAAGTTAATAAAGCCATAAACTCATTAGTGTACGGAGTGCTGAATTATTAAATATACAGGGTTGTTCACCACATACGACAGGGAGTATTGTAGCTAAACGATTGTATTTTTACAAATTGTAAGTTTTGAGTTCGTCGAATACTATTAGTGCTACAATTTAAAAATATTTTTACAAGATACAGAGTGTCTCAAATAACTAAAAATATCAAAGTTGTTTTTTTTTAATGGAACACCCTGTATATTATTACATTTTCAATTTTACGATTAAAATAAAGGTAAATTTGATTCAGGTTTATCCGAGAGTTTCTCACACTTAAACATTACCATTTTTGAAATATTTTCAATTTTGTGAAATTGCAGTAAAAATTTTAAGGCTTCATTTCTTCAGGGTATCAAAGTTTTTAAATCTAAATATTTACTGAAGTTTATTTATTGATTTGTTATTGTATTGCAATAATAAAAATAATACTACCTCATACAGAGTGTCTAAACATTTATTTTAAATAATTTATAGCTTTAAAAGGCAATAACTTGTTTAATTTAAATGGAACACCGTGTATATTTTATATATTTAAAGAGAATCAGGCGCACAATTTAATTGTCTATTAAACTGTATTATACCATTTTTTACCTATCCCTTCAAGTTTTCGTAGAAAATGCATTTTATAATTTAGACCTCATTTATCACCCATGGAATATTGATATTTTAGATTGTTTTTAAAGCAACAAATGTACAAAATGTACAAATGCTAAAAACGATATTACTAGCCCATTTGTATACAAAAAGAAAACTATTTAAATCTTTATAAAAGAGTATACCATTAATTAAATATACCACCATTATTTCCACCCAAATATTAATTAATTACATACTTAATTGTGTTAGTTAATAAATTATTCTAAATAAATGTGGATTTGGACTAGAAATCAATATAATAATAAGTTATGAAAATGAACTTCTCTGTTGTTATAAATAAGCATTCGTCAAAAAGTAAAATAAAATTTTTAAGGTGTTACTTTTTACCAGACTGTCTAATACACATACAAAATTCAGTTTTTTAGTATTTGGAGCAATTATTATTAATCAACGCGAACAGACAATTAATGTAGTTTGGTAATTAACGAACTATATCGACATTATTAGTATCTTTACTCTTTATAATTTTGTTACATCTTTAAAAATAATCCAAAATGTCAATATTCCATGGGTATATTGATAAATAAGGTCTAAATTATAAGAAAATGCATTTTCTACGAAAACTAAAAAAAAGAGATAGATAGAAAATTGTATAATACAATTTGATCTTCTTCTTCTTCTTTCAGTGCCTATCCTCTATGGATGTTGGCAATCATGTTGGTCCACATAATCCTATTGACAACCGCCCTGAATAAATGTACAGTCATCATTCCCGTCCACTGTCTAATATTTTTCAGCCATGATGTTCGTCGGCGTCCCTGACCTCTTATACTATCTATTACTTACAATTTGATAGACAATTAAATTGTGCATCTGATTCTCATAAAATATACATGGTGTTCCATTTAAATTAAAGAAGTTATTGCCGTTTAAAGGTAGTAATTATTTAAAATAAATTTTTGGACACTCTGGATAAGGTAGTAAATTTGTATTAACAGCAACACAAAAATTAGCCACACAAAATTTAGTAAACAGAAATTCCTCAGCACAATATTTGGTTCGAAAAACTTAAATACGCCTAAAGAAATGACGCATTAAAATTATTACTGTATTTTGACAAAACAATAAATATTTCAAAAACGGTAAGATTAAAATGCGATAAACCTTAATCAACTTTACCTTTATTTTAATGGCAGAAACTAAAAATGTAATAATATACAGGGTGTTCCATTTAAAAAATACAACTTTGATATTTTTTATTTATTTGGGACACACGTTGTCTCGTCGGTTGTAAAAATATTTTTAAATTGTAGTCCTAATAGTCCTTAAACGAACCGAAAACTTACAATTTGCAAAAAATCTAATCGTTTAGCTACAATACTCCGTGTCGTATGTAGTGAACAACCCTGTAGAAATTCGAGAAGTGTGTACCGGAAGTATTTTTTTTAATAATTTTTTGGATGTTACCTATATAGTTTTTATTATTTATTTGTTTATTTTATACTCAACATAGATATATAAAATTAAGTTACGCATGTTCTAGTTTATCACAAATACATATTAAAAAATTTGTATTGATGGTCAATGACAATGTTTTTCAGATGGATGACTTTAGCACCATAAATGCATATATTATACACTAAAAGCTATAAAAATGTCTTTAAAATGGGATGTACGGATTTTCTTAAACATCTGGCTAAGTATAATACAAATACAATTATGGAGAGAAGATTCCTCAACGAAAAAAATTACAAGAAAACTAAGATTTAGGGTGAATATTGGAAAGACACTATGGTAGGCGAAACAATAGCTGAAGAGGGGTGACTAGAAATGAGAAGTATTTAGTCTGGGTGCCCTTATAGAATAGAAATAAGAACCTATAGTGCTTGTCCCCTACAGTGCTCAAGAAAAATATGTTTAAACTGCTGCAAAGACAAAAATGTAGAAAGTGTGAAAATTGGGGGGTCGAGCTTTATAGATAACGCTCCTCTAAGACCTCCGCTAAACGCTAAAAATAAAAATATCTTGACAGTAAGATGATGCGACTGTTACATCTTGAATGCCATCCAAGGCAAGCCGGGGTCAGCGAACTTTCCGGCCGCGATTACTTCTCCCGTTCACTCTTTAGTCGGTGTTTGATGCGGTTGCGATATAAAACAATAAATACGGTAATAAACAGAAATAATTTTACAAGCATCCTTTAGTTCAATGGTGTATTCAGAAAAATTAAGAATTATTGAAGAAAGACCTCCAAAGCATATTTTGAATATACAGGGTGTCCCAAGCTGAGCGTGCATTAGAAGTTTCTAGAGAACCACAATATATACACACTTCCGGAAATACCGGAAATTGACAGCAACTTTCTTATTTTAAAGGGGTGCCCCCATTTTTTATTACATATTTAAATTCTCTGTAAAATTCTATGATTACTGATTTCGCTAATGAAAATTTTTGCAATTCGTTACTTTTTAACTATACGTTCCTATGTTCCTATGTTCCTAAAATAACTCGTTTTTAAGTTATTTAAGATTTAATTTGAAAACGTATATTTTTCTTGATTTTATCTAGCTTTCTTTGACATAAAGTGTCAAACGGTCGGACAATTTATTTCCATCTGTCAGAAAACGAATTATTTGAATTTCTTATATTATAAATACTGCCTACTTAGGAGTTTAAAAAGCGAATTTGTAAAAAAATATATCTCGTATTTTCGCTCTTTAGTGATATCCAATACTTGATATTATTAATAATATTCCGTATGATTTTTTACTGTTTTTTGAACAAAGCGTCACAATATGACATGGCCCGCACAATTTAGAGATTTTAGGGGGGGGCCGGGCCCCATGGGCCCCGCTCTATATCCGCCACTGTGACATGGTCAGATTTATTGTTTTACATCACTTGGCGTTTAAAGTCATAAAATTTAAAGAAGGCGTCCACTCTTCCCAAAGAGACCTGGTTTAAATTAAAAAAGGTAGAAACCGAGACTTTCAGTATTTTTTCTACCTTTTTTATTTTAGAGTCATAGGCTACTGGTTAAAATCAAGAAAAATATACGCTTTAAAACTAAATCTTAAATAACTTAAAAACGATTTATTTTAGGTATAGGAACATGTATGTCAAAAAGTAACGAATTGAAAAGCTTTTTCACTAGTGAAATAAAAGAGTGGGTTTCCATTTGAAAAAAATGATTTATGATAATTTTTTAATCGCCTAATTCTATGACAGCTGCGGCCATTATTATATGACAAAAAAAATAATTTTTGAAATAGATAGCCACATGTTTTCTCTTTATGGAACAGTGGCTGTGGTAATCACTAAATTTAACGTTTAGGCTATACAGACATTTTTGACAGGCAGTTTTTTCGTTCAAAAATTTTAAATATTTTTTTTCTCAAAAACGGTCAACATTAGATATAGAGTGTTTAATATCAAAATTCATAAAATTTTACAGAGAATTCAAGTATGTAATAAAAAATGGGGGCACCCATTTAAAATAAGAAAGTTGCCGCCATATTGAAAATATTTTTAATCGATAGATCTCGTTGTGAAACTATGATGTGCAAAAAATCTCCGAGCTAGATGTTGTAGTTCTCTAGAAACTTCTAATGTACGCTCAGCCTGGGACACCCTGTATTAATACTGAATGAAAATTTCGTATTCGCCATTTTAGTGAAAATGTTTATAAAAGTGAACACTGGTTAACTCTTTTGTGCTGGCATTGTCTCCTATTTCATCTGATATACACAGATACGTTCACAGCTTTGTTTTATTTTTAACTAAATTTAGTTTGTTTTTTATATTGTTTTTGATTATTTTTTAATCTGTTACATTTTTTCTATATTTTATTTTTGTAACTTCAAAATTAAAGAGTTAAATAAGAAAAACAAAAAAAGCTTGATTGTGTTTTTAAAATGTTAATTGCAGTTACTTATTACATCCCCTTGTATTGGCGGCACAATGGTGCCACGCTACGCCGCGCCGCGCCGCCGCCGCTGGTGTACCAGACCACTCTGTAGCGATTAAGGGAAAATTATTCAATGTTGCCGTTGAGGATTATTATAGTTTGTTTTAGTTACTATCGAAGTTTTTCAAAAAAAAATCTTTGGACACACAATTTTATTATTTACTATAAATTTCTACTTGTCTGCATATTTTTATATTTGAATAAAAACGTATATTATACCGTAGTTTTGTCAAAAAATACATTTTCTTTATGTACAGATACGATCGTATTGTGCCAGATGACGTAGACGATCTAAAGCATCTCGGAGATTTGGTAGCCGAAGCAATATACAATGCCAACAAACTAAATTCTCAATACATAGTAGATACGTCAGCAATAGCTTTGTATTCAGCTGCTGGAGGTAGTGACGATTGGGCGAAAGCAGTGGGAGGGTCAGAATTGTCGTACACAATCGAACTTCCATTTGGATGTAAGTATATGAAAGTAGTCTTAAATGTTCAAAACTACACAAATTACATTATTTTTTTAGCTTCTCGAGTCGGATTCATGAACCCTGCAAGTGATGTTCTACCAATTGTTGAGGAAACTTGGGCAGGTATTGAAGTTTTCCACAGTTTTATTGAAGAAAGGTTTTGGACCAACTTAACCACCACTACTACAACCCCATCACCTTAGATTATACCTGGATTATACTATACTGAAAATATGAAATAAAGACTAGTTTTAAGTCATATTGCATGATGCTACCTTTGTATAAATAAAATTATTTATTTAAAGATATATTAGTTGTTTATTATTTTTCATCTATAAATATTACAGTATTTTTTTATTAATTCAAGATATTTCACATTCTTAGATTGTATAAGCTTCGACAATCAAAGTTTATGTTTATATTTTACAACATTTTGACAATTTTACATAATAACAATAACAAATAAAGTTTAAAATTGAGTTAACTTCTCTTTTCTGCTACTAAGGATATACTTATACTGCCATTACTCGCTGACGAGTATTCGACACGCATCAGAAGATGGTCACGCAAGGCGTTTTCTTTCATGAGCCCTTTTCTGTGCCTGAAAAGCCCGATACGTAATGTTATTCGCCTACCGCACTCCGCACATTCAAAAATCTCATTGCTTTGTTGCCTCTTTACTTTTTGGTTGTCGCTGTAAAGCAGAGATTTTGGTATGCGGTTTTCTTACATTCTGCATACGTGAGCAGCCCATCTTAAGCGGGATTTTGTAACCATGACTTCAATACTCTCCCAGTTAGATTTTTCAAGGACCGATAAGTTTGAAACATATCGGTCGTATGATACATTGATACGTTGCAAATTTGTAATGATTATAGTTTAGGGCATTTCTTATAATACCTCAAGTGTACAATACCTACAAAGTACTTAAATATTACCTACCTTAGATAGATTATGAAGTTAGCTAGTAAGCAATAAATTTAATTTTGTTAAATAATAAGTAATCTAAAACAAATACATTTTATAACAAATCGAACTAAAATAAAAATCAATTGTAAACGATCCAGTAGTAGACTGAGTTTAATATATTAAAAATTCCATTTTTCTGTAGCAATTGTCTCCTTTGAGATAGGGATGGCGTTGTGAAGGAAATGAAGATGGTGTTATGAAGGATAGCGTTGTGACTGAAAAGCCCGATACGTGATGTTATATCTCTTCTTCACTCCGGACATTCAAAAACCTCATTACTTTGTTGCCTCTTTACTTTTTGGTTATCGTTGTTAACTGAGTCTACAATTCTTCTCCATTGCGTTCTGTTGTGCGCTGCTTCCCCCCACTGATTCTACATGCTTACCTCCTTTAAGCTTTTGTGGGAAATATCCTTGTACCTTTTGTGCTGTCCACCCAGTTTCCTCTTACCGTCTACAAGTTGGAAACCGTAAAGAAGAGATTTGGTTAGGCGGTTCTTACATCCTGCATACGTGAACAGTCCATCTTCAGCGGGATTTAGTAAATCATGACTTCAGCGCTATCGCAACTACCTTTTTCAAGAACCGATACATTTGAGACTTGGTGATAACATTTGATTCTTAACAGTTGTCAGTCTTAAAGGCGTATCTGTTTGTAAAAACTTGTTTAATGCATCATCATCACCATTGCCATTACTCGCTAACGAGTATTTGACACGCATCAGAAGATGGTTACGCAAGGCGTTTTCTTTCATGAGCTTTTCTGTGAATGAAAATCCAGATACGTGATGTTATCTCTCTTCCACACTCCAGACATTCATAAATCTCATTACTTTGTTGCCTCTTTACTTTTTGGTTGTCGTTGTTAACTGAGTTTACAAATCTTCTCCATTGCGTTCTGATGCGCCCCTCCCCTTGCTACATCACCCCTTTAAGTGTTCTTAATGCGCCCCATCCCCTGCCCTATCTCCACTTTAAGTTTTCATGGAAAAAATCTGTTGAAATCCTGATTGATAAAACCCTGTCTTTTAATTTCCAGAATGCTCTCGAGGCGCTGCTGATTCTGTGTTGAATTTCAAAGTCGATATTGGCCTATTCCAAAATCACACTGCCGATTTTTATAACATTATTGTGATTTTCCGGGAGAGTGCACATGATTTTAGTTTTATCGATGTTCAGCCTAAGGCCCAAAGCCCACATACCTGGGCATACAATTTGTTGTAATTGCTCTAACGTTTTTGCAACTAGAGCGCAGTCATCAGCGTATTGAAGTTCTGTGATGAATTTTATACGTTTTTTTCCTGGGTCTTTTTATATCGAATAGACCGCCGGCCGTCGCAATCTAAAGCCCTATCTGTATCTAATCTTTCCTGCAGTTTGCTGTCCACTATAATAGAGAACGCTGCCATGAATATGTTGAATAGGAGACACATCCTTGCCTAACTCCTCTATTTATCAGGAAGAAATCGCTCAGTGATCCATGATGTAGACTTGTTATGGAGGTTTTTAAAATAAAAAAAAATAAAAAATATATAAAATAAAGAAATCGTTTCGCGTCGCGATGACCGATTCTGAGTGCGACTGTAAAATAGAAATAATTACGCAATAGTCCTCCAGTTCTATGAAGGTGTAACCTGTTACATTTTTTGTAAATTTTGTTTTTTGTAACGTCAAAATTAAAGACTTTAATAAAATAAAAGAAAAAGATTTTATTGTGTTGGTAAAATGTTAATTGCAGTTACTTATTACATCCCCTTGTATTAACGCCACGCTACGCCGCTGGTGCAAATATCTTTATATTATTAGTTTTTCTATTTATTGTTTTTGGTTGCTCTTTTGTTTGCTAAGATATTGCCCAGCCACGGTCGAAAAATGTTAGTACATTCAACAAGGCTCTTATTGTCATACTGAACCACAAACATCGGCACGGATGGACAGTAAACGATTGTATTTAGAGACGGAAATTATTTACAGCATAAATCGATTCCATTAAATACATACACATGTTATATAGCACCTTTGTCAGATCAAAGAAATAAGGAAAAGCTTTAGCACCAATAGAATATTACAACAGGAAACCAAAATAATATAATTTGGTTAGCATTAATGAGGAAACATTTACTTAACCTTTAATAACATTCTTTTGCACAATAACCAAGACTTACAAACCAAAGTAACATCAATGCGTCTCGAACGGTAGTCTAAAAACTATTACCTATCATCTCTGTTCATTGTCTGATGTCCCTCTCCCTAATTTGTGTATAAATATTTTAAAAATCAGTAATTATATATGTTTACAGGGTGTCTTAAAACTGAATATTTTAGATTTAAAGAAATATGTTTTATATTATCACTCACGTCGCAAAAATTAATACTTTTGTGACGTTTGAAAAAGAAGCATAAATATATTATAATTACTTTAACTTGATATCTAATTATTTCAAACAAATATGACATATTCATAAGCCTCTAGTTGCAGAAGTTAATCTAGTGTGATTAACTTTATTATGAAGAGACGAAAATTGATTATGATAAATACACCATAAAAGTTTTAAATCTTAGATATTAGAGAACAACGGCAAACGGTCGAATCGGCCTACAAACACGTAAACGTTTACGTACGCATGCGCATTTCTTATATTTTCTATTTTTTATACACGTAAAAGATTCTTTACGTCTACGTATACGTGCCAGGAGCGACCGACTCGACCGTATGCCGTTGTTCTCTAATGTTAGAGATTAAAAACGGGAAATTTCACTTAAACCCGAGTAAATCGACAAAATGCTTCCGAAAATAAACATTGTTGTTTTGTGTGCTTTTAGTGTGCTTTTTCGTTTTGTGTGGTAAGATAGATAAAATAAAATTAGTTTTGCCAAATCACTAGTAAATAGTAAACAGAAACAATGCAAGGGAAAGGAGATACTTTACCTTGTAATTTTTCAAAATCATTCATATTTGTATCTAAATTAGATGTTAAAAACACTTAATAAACCAGTTATATGAAAATCTCTGTATTCAGTACATATTTTTACAGTAATATACAGTAAAAATGTAGTAAGAAATTATAATACCCAATTATTGTTTTTAATAAACTTTAGGTATAAACTCTATGAAATTGTTGCAAATGATATGACCGAGGTAAACTACTTGCAAGAATTGGAAAAACAAGAAGGTCTAAATTTCCTCAAGAAAGCTCATCATTTGGGTGAGACAAATGACATCGTTGTAGCTTCTCAATATCAAGAAAATTTTGAAAAAATCCTGAAAAATGTCGGTTTCAACTACAAAATCGTGGTAGAAAATGTTGAAGAGTAAGTCTCTAAGAATGGCTTTTAATACAATTATCTTTTTATTCTTTGGATGTTTTTAGAATTATGGAAGATGAAAGAAGAACTACAGCACTTAGACCGTTCATGGGCTGGGGAGATGTTACGTTGCAGAAGAGTGGGAAGAAGCAGCGCACAACAGAACGCAATGGAGAATTGTAAACTCAGTTAACAGCGGCAACCAAAAAGTAAAGAGGCAACAAAGCAATGAGATATTTGAATGTCCGGAGTGAGGAAAAGACATAACTTCATGTCTCGGGCTCTTCAGTCACAGAAAAGCTCATGAAAGAAAACGCCTTGCCTAACCATCTTCTGAGTAATGGTTGAGTTGGTTCTGAGTTCTGCGAGTAATGGCAGTATGTATGTAGTACATGTCAACATTGACAAAGAATTAAGATGTATAGACTAGATAGTTATAAGTAATAAATTTGGATTTTTATGTGCCAAAGGTTTAACAGAAATCAGACATCAATTTTTAAGGACATCAATATTTGGAAAAAACATAATAAAAATGAAACTTCTACACCCTGTATCTCCGAAACGAAGCCCATTTTAGGACATAAATTCATACAAACTTTCTTACTTATTTTTATCTACAGAATATCTTATTTTGCCGAAGTTTTTTGATTTAAATTCGGACCACCCTGTATATTGAAATATATCCAAAATAGGTCCGATAAAATAAAAAATTTTATCGGACAAATATTGTTTCTTTCTTCAAAAAGTTTCATTTACATAAAATTATTTAAAATGTTATTATCTAAAAATTTTCTATGTAGAAAGTGTTTTTAATAAAAATCCATTTAAACACTGCTAGATTGCAAGAGTCTTGCAGCAAAACAAAGTCCAAGACCAAAACTGAACCCTGCAAGATTAAAACCAAGACTACTATTAAATTGCAAGACCTAGACCACGCGAGTCTTGATCTTGGTATTGAATTTGCTCATCACTAATCAATAGATAGTTATTTCCGTCCATTTAATTGTTTCTTGTTGGCACGATGGAAGTGTATTAATTATTTAAGACCACCATTTACTTCAATCATTTTTTAGGGTGTCTAGTGGTCCCAGTTCTAATCCCGATGTTCCCAAACCAATAATTTTTGTGGACGCGGGTATCCACGCCAGAGAATGGATTGCTCCCCCCGCAGCTTTGTACATAATTCAGCAATTAGTTGAGAACCCTGCCAACACAGCATTGTACCAGAATGTAGACTGGCCTATCATTCCTTGTTTGAACCCAGACTGTTACCAATATACACAGGAAGCGGTAAGTTCTTATATCTATTAACTATCAACTGCAATTTACCCTCTGACGATCTATTATGTTTACCCTGGCCAGATATCCGTTCCTTAAGGAAGGGCAGTTTTAGGAAAAATTCTAGGGGGGTAATTTTAAATAAACAATTTGTGTGCACTACGTGCGTATATTTGAAGTAAAACGTCTTACTAACAGCTTTTAAATTGAAAGATTTGAAGTATAATATTTTGCAGTATGGAAAAGTCTAGTTTAAAGTGTTAAAAAAGTAATAAATTAAAAAATATATTTTTTACGCCTAAAAAGTAGTCTTTTACGTGTAACAAATAGCTTTTTGCCTGTAAAAAACATATGTTTGCGTGTAAAGCTATTTGTTACACATAAAAAACTATTTTTACGCGTAAAAAAACTATTTATTTCACGCAAAAACTATTTATTACGTGTTAAAAACTTTTTTTTTAAATTTGATCGGTCTGGGGGGAAATAATTACCCCCATTACCTTTCCCCTAAAACCGCTCTTGTCCTTACGAATTGTTAGTTACGTTTGTATGTCAACGATTTTTTTAAACCCGCCAAACAGCTAGTGTTCTTTAAAGCTAAACATATACAGATATCTACATCTACAAGTTTATGACTTACAAAACTTTACTTACAAATTTTTGAGCATTTTTTTTAACTCTATAGGACAGGTGGTGGAGAAAAACCCGTAGTATCATTCCAAACTCCGATTGCAGGGGTACAGACGGAAACAGGAACTTATGCTGGACCTCATGCATTCTCAGAACCTGAAACTCTTGCTTTAAGAGACTGGTTCTTCGCCAATAACGGTACTGTCAAATTGTATCTCACTTTCCACAGCTTTGGCAGTTTGCTACTGTATCCTTGGGGGTAAGTTAAATGTAGAAAAAGAAAGCAAAATTCCTATAACAAAAAGGTTATTTGAATAATACAAAGATTGCTCATTTGATTTCTTACATTTTTAAATTAGAATGTTACCATTAACGTTTACAAAAAAATATTTTAGTACGCAATTTACTATGAATTCGCATATACGCATTTACTATGAATTCCTACTCGTCTGCGTATTTTTATATTTGACAAAAAACTTATAAGAATCTTAATAAATAACATCTTAGAATTAATAATATCTTAGATCTTTATACTGTAGTAATATATGTCGAAAAATAAACTTTCTGTACATACAGATACGATCGTGTTGTACCGGACGACGTAGACGATCTAAAACACCTCGGAGATTTGGTAGCGGAAGCCATATACAATGCCAACAAACTAAACTCTGAATACATAGTAGATACCTCAGCACTAGCTTTGTATGCAGCTGCTGGAGGTAGTGACGATTGGGCCAAAGCAGTGGGAGGATCAGCACTGTCGTACACAATCGAACTTCCATTTGGATGTAAGTATATGAAAGTAGTCTTAAACTTTTCCACTTCAAAACTAGACAAATTACGTTATTTTCTTAGCTTCGAGATTCCAATTCATGAACCCTGCAAGTGATATTCTACTAATTGTTGAAGAAACTTGGGCAGGCATTGAAGTTTTCCACAGTTTTATTGAAGAAAGGTTTTGGACCAACTTAACCACCACTACTACAACCCCATCACCTTAGAATATACCTGGATTATACTGAAAATTTAAAATAAAGACTAGTTTTAAGTTTAATATTGCATGATACTAACATGTGTAGATAAAAGAATTTATTTAAAGATTTGTTAGTTGTTTATCATTTTTTCTATAGCTTTCTTTATATATTTATAATAAATTCAAGATATTCCATATTCTCAGATTCCATAAACTTCGAGGATCAAAGTGTATGTTTACATTTTACAAAATTTTGACAATTTTACATAATAACAATAATGATTAAAGTTTAAAATGTGAGTTAACTTCTCCGTTCTGCTGCTAAGGATATACTTAATGCTTAAGTAAAAATTGTAATGATTATAGCTTACGGCATTACTTTTAATCCAGGGGGTGACAGTGAAATAGGAAAATTGGAAACAGTCATTAGTGTCATTCCTGTCATCTCCTGACGACAAGTATGGCCGCCTAGACAAGGACAGCAATGTTTCTGTCTAACTATTGTCTAACTTCACAGTTTAGAATTGACAGATTTGGTCTAGAACAAATTTCGACGCCATTTTAATTTTCTCCGTTTAGTTTTGTTTTGTAAATTCAATTTTATATTTCGGCTGAAATTTATAAATATAAAGGTAATAAAGCATATAAAATATATGTTACATGAAAAATCCTGGAGAAAAAGACGCTTCTGCAGTACTAGGTATGTCCCATGTATTTAAAAATAGGTAGTAAATAAACACTACTTCTATATTTTTTAGATGCAAGAAAAATTTGTTATATGTTTATGATCGGCGATTTTTTTGAAAATGGACAATTTACAGTAAGGTAAGATCATTTTTAACTATAGCCAACATTAGTTATCCCCAGTATGTGCGATTTATTGTCAATTATACAATAAACCTGACTGATACAATCTTACGATTATTATCCGACTAAAAGTCTCTTTTTGCTTCATTTGGATTTATAAACCAGGTCTCTTTGGGAATAATGGAGCTTTTTTTAAATAGTTTATACCTATACTGATATTTTTACATTGTTAATTTTAGTAGAAAAAAATTGTTTTTGTTTTCAGGATTGGTTTGGTTTGGTATAAGGCTCCCGTTGTCATGTTCCTGTCCCCGTTTTCTGTTTCTGAAGGCTGTGAATACGTGTATTTATTTACAAATTACTGTAAGTCATTCTTATAACTTACTAATTTACGTTAAAACTGCATATAATTAAGTAATTGATATAGAAATCATTCAATTCTTTATTTTTTATATTTATTTAGTCACGTTGATTACAGTTGAGGGTTGGAACCTTTGGTGTTACACAGTAAAATAAAAACACTAAATCACCACAATACACCAAAACACTTTTACTGATATATATGCATATAGCAGATGATTATAAACTCAGTTTATAATCATCTGCTGATGATGCTAACATGGTTAGCGAAACGCGCGTCCAGTGTAAAAGTAAAAGTGTTTTGGTGTATTGTGGTGATTTAGTGTTTTTATTTTGCTAGTCACGTTGTCTCATATTTCAAATAAATTTGTTTGAATACATTTTTATTTTGTTTTATTTATGATAAGAAAGAGTACAAAATACATTTAAACTGAAAGGGGTGCCCGCCATTGAATAACCGGAAATAAAAATGAAGCCATCATGTCAACCTGTCAATTGAAAATTAGTTCTCCAGACGACAACGAAGGCTTTCGGTGGCGTATCGTGTTTCCGCGATTTAACACAGAGTTGACACTTCTTTCTAGTTAATTATTTTATGCTTTTAATATTGAACTTATAGTCTAGGGAAATTAATTAAATCAGTCGAAATAATTCGTGTAGTCTTGAAAAGCGATATAGTTATTCTTTAAGGTGTACTGATAAACATACTGTCAAGGTGTAATACTGGTTGCATAACTGCATACTGCTAAAAAATCGCAACGGCATTGAGGAACCTGGCGCATTCGCCAGAAAGTAAAGAAAATTATAGAATTCTTTAGAAAAATCTAGAAACAACCGCCAGGGGGTATATAAGGCCCGCGCTTTGACAGTTGGACAAGTTTAAAGTTTAAAGTTTGAAGTCTAAAGTCTGAAGATAGTCTGAAGTTTGAAAATACCGCGAAATACCGTTAGAGTAATAGTAGTTGCATAAGTTGTGTTGTAAATAGTATAAGTTGTGTGTACAGAGTGAAACAAATAAATTCGTTAAGTATTTTATCGTGAGTTTAAATAGTGGACCCACGGAATCCGTAACAATTGGTGTCGGAAGTGCGATTCAAGAGTATTTTAAGAAGAAATTAAGTGATTGGAAGATTTTTAGACCGAATTAGAGTGTTTTTATGGTTGGTACAAGGGAGCAAGCGAAGAAAATGGAGGAAGTAAGCAAATTATTGGGCGATTTTATGGAGAATATGAGAAGAGAAAAGGCAGAAGAACAAGAGAGGCTGCGAAAAGAAAAAGCAGAAGATCAAGAAAGACTCCGTAAAGAACGAGAAGAAGAGCGAGCCCGATTAGAAAGAGAAAAGGAAGAGGAAAAACTACGACGTCAACAAGAACAGGACCGGCTTGACAAAATTTTTGAAGATTTGAAAATTCAACGACAACAAGAAAAACAAGAAGAACAAGAAAGACTACGTAAAGATAAGGAAGAGGAAAAATTACAACGACAACAAGAAAAACAAGAAGAACAGGACCGGCTTGAGAAAATTTTAGGCAATTTAGAAATCCGTCAGAAGAATGAATGGAGGGAAATTTTAGAAGATATAGAGACGCACCGCCAGAAAGAAAGACAAGAAGATCAAAACCGTCTTAAGAAGAACTTTGAAGAACTAGAAAGAAGGCAAGAAATCCACCTTCAAGAAGCCGTAGAAGATCTGGAGGAACGCCTTCAGCAGAAAATGGAAAAATTAGAGATGGACCTACACAAGACCAAGGTACAAGTAAGGACACCTGGCGTTCCTGGAACTGCGAACCTTAAGGCCCCGACCTACGATGGACAAACGACCTGGACGATGTTCCACCGCCAGTTTGAAGCAGCCGCCGCTGCCAACGGATGGACCGACCAGGAGAAAGCAGCGGCACTTGTCATCGCGCTGCGTGGCCCTGCTCTGGAACTGCTGCAAACTATTCCTGCAGCCCAACAGCAGGAATACCAAACTTTGGTAGCTGCACTGGACAGAAGATATGGCGACCAACATCGACGTCAACTTTACCAGGCCCAGATCAAGACACGCCTGCAGAGGTCCGGAGAGAGTCTGCAAGAATTCGAAGCAGACTTACGTCGCCTGGTACACCTAGCGTATCCTGAAGCACCGGAAGGATTTAGGGAGGAACTCGCTGCTCAGTGCTTTATCAGCGGACTGAGGGCGCTGCATAAGAATTGCAGAGGGCGCTGCAAATATCCCGATTTTCTACCAGCAGCGAAGTACTCGTCAGGGCGCTGGAAATAGAAGCTGCATTTAGCGCCATTCCTAAACCGAAGATAGGCTCGGTAACGGTTGAGGAACAGCCAAAGAGTTCTCACATACGTTTGGAGGAGATGTTTAATAAACTATGTGAATTACTAGTGAACAAGAGAGTCAACAACACCCAGACAGAGAACCAGAGAAGATCCCAGGATATTAGGTGTTATAGATGTGGTAGGAATGGCCATATCAAACGGGATTGTCGCATCCAAATGCCATTCCGTTCATCATTAAGAGAACATCGGCACATCGGAAGATCCCAGGACATAAGTTGCTATAGATGTGGCAGGAATGGCCACATCAAACGGGATTGCCGTGTCCAAATGCGATTCCGTTTACCATCGAGAGAACATAGGCACCAGGAAATTAACACTAATGAGCGAGTATTGGCTGAAGAAAACAGAGCCCCTAGGATGTTTTCCGTTAGAGTCTAGGAAAAACCGCTGACAGTTTGGTGATCAACGGAAGGTCAATGGTAGAAGAATTCGAATGACTGTGGACACAGGCGCTATGGTATCGTTGGTGCGGACTAACTCAGTGCAAGGATTGAAGATGATGCCTCTTAGAAGAAGAGTGTATTTACGTACAGTTACGGGGAAATGGCCGTTGTACGGGGAGAGGCTTTCATGGAATTGGAGTTAGGGAATTTGAAGTTTCGGCATAGCGTTTTAGTGGCAGACATTGAAGATGATTTTATCATGGGTATGGATGTGATCAGTCAACATGGTTTTTCGTTTGATCACCATAGAAACATCCTGAAAATCGGAAATGAGGAATTTTCTGTATCTAAAGAGAAGAGACCAGGAAATATGGAAGAAAGATCATCGAAAATTGCGATGATACCTGGTGATACCAAGAAGACTGTGTTCGGGAAACTAGAGAAACCGCTGGGTGCCGTGTAGGACGGGTACAAATTATCGACAACGACCTAGATCGACGACGAGCTACCTTGGACAAAAAAATGAAACATCGCGAAAGCACTATCAGAATAAGGAATTTTAAGCTTAGAACTGACGAACCATGGACGACGATAAATTGAGGAAAGATCAAATGGAAGATCCAGACATCGGAGCAATACTACGGCTCAAGGAAGGTAACGGCGAGAGACCACCGTGGCAGGATATTGCGGACAGAGGGCTCGTTTTCAAAGCTCTCTGGGCTCAGTGGAATTCACTGGTTATTGAGAATGGATTGTTAAAGCGCACATGGGAAAGTGCGGATGGCAGCACAGTAACAACTCAGTTACTGGTACCAAGGAAGAAAGTTACCCAGGTATTGGAAGAAATTCACGGTGGTAAAACTGGAGCCCATCTTGGGGTAAACAAGACCTTGAGCAAGCTGAGAGATCGCTTTTACTGGGTGGATTATTGCGAAGATGTCAAGAAATGGTGTCGACAATGTAAAATTTGTGCAGCCAGCCAAGGACCAAGCACTCGATCTAGGGGAAAAATGAAACAATATAACGTTGGACTGCCATTCGAAAGAATCGCTGTTGACATTGCAGGCCCATTCCCTGAAACGCACAAGGGCAACAAGTACGTTTTAGTGGCGATGGATTATTTCAGTAAATGGCCAGAAGTTTTTGCCATTCCAAACCAA